TTTGGGTAGTGTCATTAAACCCCCCGATTCACCCTAGGAGGGAAGAGAGGGCTATAAGGATTGTTAGTGGAAAGTTAATGGAAAGCATGGAAAGGAGGCTGGGTTCGAGAGAATGAGAACAGTGCTAGAGGGCTAATCTGCCTTAAATAAGTTTTAGGGAGTAGGTCAGGGATGTCAAACTCAATTCCTGGAAGGCTGCAGCCCTGCACAGTTTAGTTCCAACCCTAATTAAACACACCTGATCAAACTAATGAGTTCTTCAGGCTTGTTGGAAACCTACAGGTAAGTGTGTTGGAGCAGGGTTGGAACTAAACTGGGCAGAACAGCGGCCCTCCAGGAATTGAGTTTGACATCCCTGGAGCAGGTGATTGGTTAAGGAGGCAAAGTGAGACATGGTCCTGCTGCCAAACCTTTGTTAACAATTTAACTCCTTTCAACGGTTACTGGCTTTCTTCAAAATATCTTATTATGTGTTCAACAAAAGCAAGCCAGGTTTCAAGCAAGTAAAGAGTGAGTAAATTATGGTAGAATTTTAATTTATGGGTGAACTTAAGTTCACATAAAACATTTTTCAATACGGATTACAGTAACACATTTTAAATTAGGAATTTAGATTGAACTTATATTTTATTATTATTTTTTTTATTATTATCAGCATTTTATCAGACATACCTGGTCATCTTTAAACACTGCTCAAAAGCACTTATATCAGACAACAACAACATTAAAAAAAGTCCTAACGTTACCGGTTTCAGAATGCTTTGTTTCAACGCTCCTTCCTTCTGTACAGTGAGTTCGCCTCTGTCTTTTTGCAGAATAAACTCCTTTAAGGTTTCCTGCAGTCAGAAATCCGATCATTATTTCTCATGTGTTGTTTGTTCAAAAAACTATCTAACGTTACGCACGCGCAGTAAACCTTATGAGAAGTGTTCAAACAACAAACCTCTTCTAAAGTCACGTCTTCTTTCCAGTTTCCCACACGAACGCGCGGGTTGTAGGTCCGAACGTGAGCCATTTCTCGGTCGTTGTAAAGCCAGAAACACGGTGAAGTCTGTTAAATACTATTTTAGTTTACAAAAGTTGACCAAATGAGCCTAAAACAGGTGACTGTTACCAAGGATGCGCACCAAATATGGACCTAGTGCGCATGCGTCTGTTACGTCCCCATGGTAACACTTTCTTTGGTTATGTGGCTGGCTAATGTTACCAGAATAGATTTTCGCGCTGATACAGAAGTTGTTCTGAGGTTTCTGCCATTTTAATTTGATGTTAAATTGATATTTTAATCTAAAATCAATTGAAATGCATTTTATTATCTTACTAATAAGAAAATATTTAAGAAAAATATGTATATTAGATGTTAAATACATACAAATGCATTGTGAGTTACTTTTTGGGGTAGATGTGTATACTATGTTGTAAAAACAGCAGAAATTAGTAGTACTCAGTATTTTTTTTGTACTATTTAACTACTAAACAGTAAAAATGGAGCATTTCAAATCAATTAGAAACATCTAGAAAAACTATTTTCATAACTACTTTATATATTTATAACTACTTGCATATCAACCTGCACGTTGAGGCCTGTTTTATGAAGATGTGGAGAGATAGATATAATGACAAATAATTACTGATGATATAATAGGTACATAAAAAAAAATATGCTGTACAGACAGACGGATGGACAGATTGATGGATGGATAGACGAATAGGTAAAAGGTTAGATAGATAGACAGATGGATGGTTAGATGGATGGACAGATTAATAGAGATAAATATGGATGGATGGATGAACAAATAAATGGGCAGATAGATAGTATGGTATAGCATATTTAGATGGATGGACGGAAGGATAGATAAATGGATAAATGGACAGATAGATGGATGGGTGGATAGATGAATAAACAAACAAATGGTCAAAAAGATAGTAGATAATTTAATGGACGGACGGAAGCACAGAGGGACAGATGGATGGACAGATGGATGGACGGACAAATAGAGGAATGGAATGGATGAACAAACTAATGGGCAGATACATGGATATCAAAATGGACAGATGGAAGGACAGAGGAACAGAAAGATGGATGGATGAATGAATGGAGGGACAGATGGATCGATGGACAGACGGATAGATAGATGGATGAATGGATTGATGGACGGACAGACAGACAGATGGATAGATAGATGGACAAATAGAGGGATGGATTGATGAACAAACAAATGAGCAGATAGATGGATATTTAGATGAACGGATGGAATGACAGAGACAGGTAGATGGATGGATGGATAATTGGACAGAGGGATCAATGGACAGATGGACGGACAGACAGGCAGACAGACAGTAAGATAGATAGATAGATAGATAGATAGATAGATAGATAGATAGATAGATAGATAGATAGATAGATAGATAGATAGATAGATAGATAGATAGATAGATAGATAGATAGATAGATAGATAGATAGATAAACATTCCATTTGTGGCCTCTTTTTTTAAAGCTTTATTTATTATTATTATTATTATTATTATATAAATATAAAACTGGTCGTACAGAAATCTATACAATGAATTATGTCTTGATATTATATATAATATTCTATAGGAAACTTTATTAGATTTCCAATTAAATTAGGTCTCTCTTCACAGTTTTGGTCAGATCAATATGTGTGCTTTTTGAATCTTTCAGGGTTATAAGATTTAAAACTAAATCTTATAATCTTATTTAAATTATCTTCTATATATTACTTTTTTTAAATATGTATGTAGAGCCAAAAGGCAGCTGAGATTTTAGATTAACTTACATTAGAAGGAAGCCTGGGTTGAGTTTGAGAGACAATGTGTGTAAGTGCGGTTAAGTGCTTTCACGTCAATAACGGAACTGACAGATCATAAATAGATAATACACGTTTATGTGCTCTGAAATATTAAAACTCCAATGGGAAAAGCAGGAAGAAGCAGTATTGCTGATAATATTACAGAAAAAACACACACTTCAATCAGATTTTACCACTGGCATGATCCACCTCATGTACAGTATACATGTCAGCTTGTTTAACTGGTGGGAGAAAAACACCACACAAGAAACAGCCTTGTTGAATAATCAAAACCAGCTTTATGAAGAGACAAACGCATATATTCACAGTCAAAAGAGCCCTGAAAAAGGAGAAATCCCTGTTCAGAAGTATATGTTCATACAATCATATAGTGACAAACATTTCCCATAAATTATAATAAGAATAAAACAGGGAAAATGCATAGGCTATTTCTAAAGAAAAGAAAATTCATAACATTTCCAACATTGCCTCCTTAAAACAGGATATCTCATTCAAGGCTTCACATTGCAGTTTTCAGTTAATTCTGTGCCACAGAAAGTATAGCCAACACTTGCTAAGCAGTTGCTAAGTTGATTTTAGTGGTTAGCACATTTCTGGGTTGCCAGGGTGTTGCTAGGGTGCATGGTTGCCAAAGCACTGCTAAGATGTTTTGGGTAGTTGCATGGACATAAAGTGTAACGGAGGCCAGCTAGTATGCCAAAGTCCTTTTAAGGCAAGTCATTTCACTCGGCCGCTATCTATTGGAGTAGTACGGTATGACTCGGTTCGCTTTTATAGCCATTTCCAACGTCAAGGGACACCTAGTGTAACCCCGCCGATCCAACACCACCCAACCCGCTCCGAGCTGGTATCGAACCGGCAACTTTCCGCATGGGAGTCGGTTGCTCTACCAAGGAGGCTAAAGACCATGGCCTCTACGGTCCGTCACTAGAGCACCTTTAGAGGTCCGAGGATTGAGGTTTAACTGCACAGCACTTACTAGCTGGCCTCCGTTACACTCACCCCCCCTAAACCTCACTCCCATCCGGGTCACAGTACCAATGTAACCCTGCCGGTCCTACGCCACCCAAACCACTTTGAGCTGGTATCAAAGTGGCGACTTTCCGCATGGAAGTCGGTTGCTCTACAAAGGACGCTAAAGACCATGGCCTCTATACCGTCACTAGAGCACCTTTAGAGGTCAGAGGAGTGAGGTTTAACTGCACAGCACTTACTAGCTGGCCTCCGTTACACTAGCACGAAAAAAAGGGTATCAAAAGGTAGAGCTAGACGTGCAGCTAACCGCTATTAGTTTACAGAGATACGTCACTCGTAGAAGCAAGAGAATAAAAACAAAGGAAGCGCCATTTTAAAAAAACACAGCTGAGACATTTACCCGATAATAATATATACATATAATAACGAGCCATGGTCGAGCGCAAACAAACCTTGTCGTCGTCTTGATGAACAGAGTAACCAGTTACACACAGCATACATTTAGTCCTTATTTAGGTTAAAAAATAACGCAAAATTTAACCCACTGTCAGAGCAGACCTCTCATCTGTGTCTGTAATTATTAGCAGCACATGTAACCTCTTGTTAGAGTAATTCCATCATTCCAAGTTCATAAAAGTCCAAAAGGTGGTGATGATAATAGTTAAACATGGCAGTTTGTTCACGTTTGCTGAAAAAATAATGTGCTCCTTTTTTTCCTGGTTCTCCTTTGACAAAGGCGAGAGTGACGCGAAAAAAAAAAACAGTTTCTGTCAGGATCGGGTTTAAAAGCACATCAATAATCAATAATGCACGTTATTATCATTAACACAAGAAGTTCCTTATTTCAAATATAGATGCGCGGCGAGCGCAAGCAAGAAAGCGAAAGGCTTGTAAAAAACTACGGGGCACAGGGTACAATCTGCTCTTCTTCTTGGCTTTGTGATTGTTCATCATGACGTTGACAAGGTTTGTTTGAGCTCGGGTCAACCATGGCTTGCTACTATACGTGTATAAAATTACGCTGTAATCTCTCGGCTGTGTATTTAAAACATGGCAGTTCCTTTGTTTTAATTCTGGCTTGTTGCGTGAGCAAATGACGTATCTCTGTAAACCAACAGTGTTTAGCTGCGCGTCTAGCTCCGCATTTTGGTACCCTTTCTTGTGTTTGGTACCCTTTCGGAAGTGTGCCGAAAAAGTGGTACGGTACGGTTCAGTTCGTTACACCTTTTGACAGTGAAAACGGCTATAAAAGCGTACCGAACCATACCGTACCACTGAGTGGAAACAGGCCATTAGTGGCATACTAGTGACTCCAGCCAAAAGGTGTGGTCTTTAGCATTTTTGTTAACACAGCCACTTCAAATGCATTTACACAAGTTCGAATCCCACAGTTTAAAGGAGAAACTGTGCAAATAAATCTCATCTGACACACTAGCGTCGGACGCTCGAGCCTGCAGTCTTTACAGTGCTAATTAGCATGCCTGCCTCTCATGCTGGTATAAATACAACCCAGAATGGTCCAAGTAGAACTCAAGAGGTCCCTTGACCTGAATGGGTAATGAGGTTTTAGGAGGTTGAGTGTAACTTTGGCCTGATAGTAGAAGCCATGCAAATAAAGCACACTCAAAAGACATACACTCTAGCCTCACAAGACACATCTAAAAACCTAAAGGCTTTAACATCCTTGTTGGAGTGTCTGCCATGCTGTAATTGGCTGTTACACTTCCACTCTATATAGTGTGAACAGAATTAGAGACACCAATGTAATTCCAACCTGGATTACTCAGAGTAGAACTGGAGGTTTTTCATTGGTGCGTCGGTGGGCTAGCAACTACAATTAAGGGCAGTGGTCATTAGCATCCTCTGTGCTCTGTGCAGAGTGAGTAGAACCGAAACAGTTGTTTCCATCCAAATATTTGAATTAAACTTATGCGCAAAACTGAAACATTGCATAAAACATTTGAGAATAAAGCACTGCTTCCATCCAATGAGTCAATGAACAAAAATGTCACTTCCTCTTAATAAACTGGCACCAAATGGAATTTGAGAAGCCACTGTGTGCCTTTTTTTCACAACAAGCAACAGACCAGAAGTCAGTGGAGATGGAGAGTAGTCTGGGAGCTGTGGATTTCCAATTATATCTGTACATGGAAAATTCAGATCCAATTTTCGGGGGGATTCCGGGAGTTTTCTGGGAGACAAAACAATACAGCAGCCAGAAGTAGGACTCAGAAAACTTCGGGCTGGATTAAAGAGGCCAAACACTGCCTTTCGTCTCTCAGACTCCCAGGAAAAACAGGTGTGTTGGCAGGTATGCTTGTAGTGTGAATGAGGCTTCCCAGCATTTTTTTGTTGTTTTTAAAAAGATGTTTAATAGACATCTAAACATAATTGTCTTGGCTAAAACAACACAAAATCTGATCATCATTGGTCGCCTAGACATAGGTCGCCGGAAGTCGCTCATTCTCCGTTGAAATGAACGGTCACTTGTCACTTTGCCGCTGTGAGTCACTTGTAATGTAAATGAGGCTTTAGAGTCCTTACTAGCACACCCACCACCCAGAAGCTGTGTGAATAAACTTCACTTCCCTGGCCTATGTAGGTGCACAAGCAACTGAGGCAAAATCTGCGATCTTTTGTGTTCTTTCTGGCTTGCCCACCTTTCATGGACATGCAGGTTGTAGGTGATTGCTTTCTGGCCTGTGATATGGCTCGAATCCTTCCGATATTAAAAGTCCAAGTAATAGCAGGATTCGGGGATATCCTTTATTGCATAAGTGAAGGAGAAAGACTTATAACTGTAATCAATTAAACCGCAAGTTAAAGTCAAATTAATTCCAATTGGAAATTCTTTTATCTTAGGAAATCGTAAGCTTCACTCATTAATCAGCCGCAGCAGACAGAAGTAGGACTCAGAAACCTTCGGGCTGGATTAAAGAGGCCAAACACTCCCTTTCGTCTCTCAGTCTCTCTCTCCCGACCACACTCACTCACTCAGTCCCATCACAGCCCATTAAAACCTTAATGCTGTTGTTCAGCAAATTGAAAATGTGTGCCGGTATCGATCCACCATCATGCATCCATTCTGGATCTCTGGAGGCCCATTTTCCTTTTCTTTTAAGCTTTTGCGAGGGAGGATATTACATTTTGTTGCACTGTTTTGGTTGTGATCAAAACTAAGCTTATTAAATGAGGAATAAGCATCAAACAAAAGCAGAGATAGCAAGAAGATCACTCCCACCACAGCACATCTTCCACATTTAGGGAAAAGTGAACAAACGTGTAACGTTTTCTGGCATCATGAGTGGAATTTCCCAACATTTGAACTTAGTGTGAGAGAGAGAGCGGAGGTGTGGGAGAGAGAGAGATACGCCTGCCGCTGTGTGAGCAAGTGGATGCCGTTTCATGTTTCAGGAGAATTACATTACACTAATGGGAAATCCCCAATATCCATCAACAAAGAGGGTATACCGGAACGTCCTGAATCCGTAAACTGCAGAATAAGCATTTAACTCAGAACCTGCTTCAATTCAGAAACAAAACTAAAGGTTGAGCTCCATGAAGGTCCAAAGGAAGTCTATTTTGCATAGGTTATAGATTGGGACAGGTTGCCATGCTTGCAGAGTCGGGCTCATGAAGAAATCATGCGTTCAGTAAAACCTTTATAATATAATCTAACAAACATGTACCATTCAGAGTAGCCTCAGGCATGTCATGTGACCGCATGTACGTTACATGGTGCTGACTGGAATGACGATGATGAGGATGAGGATGATGGTGGCAGTGATGCTGAGGGCCGCGATGCGGTACGCCTGGTTCCTGTTGCAACGGGTGTACGAATGCGAACGCCGAAGAAGAGTGTCAGAGGCCGGTGTGTAAATCTCATCTGTCCAGAACTCCAAAGACTCAGGGGCCTGTCAAATACATACACAAAGCGTCAGACATCCCTTCACTTGTGAATCTTTATATTTCTATAGGTAATATCAATTTAAATGGATTGATTAATAAAGACAAGAAACAGTTGTTTATTCTTCTAGCAGCTAGTAAAAAAGTAATTACGAAAAAATGGTTAAAGTTAGAGTCACCTACAGTTGAAGAATGGATTGATACAGTGCACACTACATATGCCATTTTCATTAAGAACACACTGAATGCTTTTTTCACATTGGAGTAAATGGATTGTGTATATTTCACCAATATGCCCAAATTTTTCTTGAATTGTAGCTCAAATGTAATATTATCCCTAGTAGCAAAGAATTCTGGCCCAGATTTGGCAAAAAGCTGGCACAGCAGGCATTCATCCGGCACTGGCATACAGTATGTGGGCCAAACGTGGCCCGGTTTTGGCAGAGGTGGCACCGTTTTTAAGGCGGCACACAAGATTTGGGCCAGATGAAAAACGTAGTATTTGGCCCAGATTTATAAATTTGATAAGTGGGCCATGTGAGTTTGGCCAGTCTTGACCCACATTTAAAATAATCTAAAATCATTTTTGAGTAGAGAAAAAAAATTCTACCAATCAGGTCACTTTGAGAAAAAGCATGCCCATAGTGTGCCTAAAGCGCATCACACCATGGGTTTATCAATTTCATTGCACTCGTGACACACCAACCTATCTGGCCCAGTTCAGGCCCAGTTATGAGTTATTAACTTGGCTGAGACTTGGCCCAGATATGGTCTGTGTTTGGCCCTTGTCTGGAAGCCAGATTTGGTCCAGTCATGTACCGTAATTCACTGCGGCATGTGGGCCAAGCAAAACCTGATTGTGTGGGCCAGAGAAATTTTGCTATGTGGGATGTGTCTAAATAAGTATCTTCACTTCTTTAAACGAAATCTTCTAAAGGATTTGTAGCTCCACGTTTTACTGTTTATAGCTGTTGTTGTTGTTAAAGGAAAGAAAATACAAAGCATATACAAGATCTGTAAGTCTTTTTCTGTATGAGAGATTATGTAAGTTATATATGTATTTTCTTTTGAAAATTAAAAAAAACAATAATAAAAAAAACATCAGACGTAATAAGTGCAGCTTTATATGCACACATGCATCTTTTGTAAGGCTCTATGATCAGTTTCGTGCATCTTCTATTTAAGGTGCAGCTGGTGATCTGCCTAAATGCTATTCGTTAGCATAATATCTTTGAAGTGTTTGAAACATATCTCCCTCCCCTGCCGTTCAAAGCCACGCCTCCTGAAATCACGAATGCGCACGACAAAGATGGAAGGAGACACCCCACTACTAGATCATGTCATTTGACAGTTAGGAAACGTTATAGTACTTTATAATACTTCAATTCTGAACGAAACACTGTATTATATCTAGCACGTCATCAGTTGTGTAGCAAGCAAAACTTGTCATAATGTGCAATATTTCATGCATGCAAGGATCGCTGGTCTCACTCTCTCACTCGCTTTTTGTTGGCTGGCGGTGTGCAGGAATTAAACTGATTACTTAGCCATACTTGCATGCTATTTCAGAGCGAATATTCAGAGTAGCATGGTAAACAGTATTGGGAGGCTGTCATTGTTCAAAAATGAACCAATGTATATAAAACCATTTTCCAAGCAGGCTAGGCGGAATAGCGCTACTTACTGATGTTTTGTTGTTAAACTAAATAAAAATCTACATTATCACTGCTGTCAAAGGTCCCTTATGAAATTAAAAATAGTCACATTACTCTTTCGACGGGAGATTTCAGTGGCTGAACAACACGTCTGTGTATTTAAGTGAAGTTTATTTATAAACTAATTTCGAGTTGATCACATGCTTGCTGCTGGCCCTGCTACATCCAATATATGATTCCCCAATCAGACGACTCCTTAGCCACTATAAATACCCTAGGTTTCAAACCACAGTCATCTTCGTTTTGAAGAATCCCCCCTTCCACCCCTACTCCTCCTCCTTTCCTAGAGTCCATTGGTTAGCATAGTGGGCCAGTGGTAAGCACTGTTGCCTCACAGCCAGCTGACGTTTCTGTGCAGAGTTTACACGTTTTCCCCATGCTCACGTAGGTTTACCCCGGTTTTTGTCCATAAACATGCAACTTAAGTTAATTGATTAATCCAAATCGGCACGATAGACATGCACCTAGTAAGTAGTTGTCTCTTAAGAGCAATCACTACCTGTTCATTACTACAGCAGGGGAACATCCCCTCTTGCCTTGCGACAGGAGGGAACCCCGGGCTCAAGGATCTTATGAGCTCAGGGCTCTCTCCCGGGACAGCATGCCAAATAAGCTTTATAATAAATCATCAGCTGAGTGTGAACTCTTGAACCCATTCATAAAACAAAACAATCTACATCAGTTTTGCGTAACTAAAATAGTTTTAAAACAGAACATTACCTGTCTAAAAGAAATACTTCAGCCATGGTGTCATCCTTCCTCCTGATTGCAAAACTAACTCCAATAATGATTCAGGATTTTAAAGTTTTGATTAAGCATTTGTTTTTATCGTTGTCACTCTCTTGGTGTGCACGTGAACGTGGCGCAAATTTAACAGCGGATCTGCATGAACCGGGTGCGCAGATGTACAAATCTGCATTTGCTGGCAGACAGTTTGGGCTACTTATCAAAATTAGGGAAATTGTCGACCTGACAAATTTTAATTGGATGAACATTGGATTTTTAGTCTTATGCCTTACCCAGAATATAAAAATAGACATAAATACATTTAGATTATTTACTTTAATCGTTACTATTGGAATGTGAAGAGGCTTCCAACCAGCACAACCAAAACATGTTTCTGAAGACAATCACCTACTGCACCTTTAAGGCAGATTTTTTTATGTTTTGGATAAAAAAAGACCCTAATGATGTATATGTGTCAAAGAAAATTAACAAAAATCAAATAACATAAAAAAAGTTTTTTACATAGAAAGCAGATGAAATACAAGTAAAATGTCTACTTTAATGCCTTAAATTTTATTTGTGAAAGGAAAATGCAGGTGAAATAATGTTTGGGTGAAAGAAACCCATTAAACACTTTTTCAAGAATAAGTGATCATGTTAAATTATATTATATTTTAAATAATTGTAAACTATCTTGCTAACCAATGTGTAAATCCCACAGTGGTTTGAAGAATTGTGGCAAAGTATTAAAAATAAATATGATCAAGTATTTCGGGGCTGTGCTGTGATCCTTAAGTTTTTTTACATTCATTTATTCATTCATTCATTTTCTTGTCGGCTTAGTCCCTTTGTTAATCCGGGGTCGCCACAGCGGAATAAACCGCCAACTTATCCAGCAAGTTTTTATGCAGCGGATGCCCTTCCAGCTGCAACCCATCTCTGGGAAACATACATACACACACATTCACACACACACTCATACACTACAGACAATTTAGCCTACCCAATTCACCTGTATCACATGTCTTTGGACTGTGGGGAAAACCGAAGCACCCGGAGGAAACCCACACGAAGGCAGGGAGAACATGCAAACTCCACACAGAAACGCCAACTGAGCCGAGGATCGAACCAGCGACCTTCTTGCTGTGAGGCGAAAGTGCTACCCACTGCGCCACTGCGTCGCCAGTTTTTTTTACAGTGCTATCAAAATAATCTTGTTCTATATTGGCCTGACAAGAACTATTTTTGAACTAATCATAGTAAAAAAAAAATTTGGGTGTCTTATAATGGTAAAACTATATGACAGTCATTATAAATATTAATGTACAGTGAGATAGTGAAAAACGAAAGCTGCATTACACTATGACTGAAGTATAATATTTACAAAATGGACAGAATTTTGATGAAGTTACACTCAAACTTTGCTTTCAAACAGGTTACCTGAAGGTCGAGGGGTGTTAAGTCAGACTGGCTCCAGGTCACTTTGGGTCTGTCGGTCAGATGCTGAGTGGTGCTCTGGACAGATGTGCGGCGTGGTGCACTGTGGATCTCAGGTGGCATAAGGTGAAAACCCGTCACTTCCTGTACTATGGAGCCATCTTTTTTATGCACTCCACCTAAATTATCAGACTGAGAAGCCAAACAAGACTTTTAATTATGCATACTACCAAAAGAGATTAACTCTAAATTATAAAAATGTAATTTTCTACATGACAATTTCAGTTGGAAAATGTACAGGAATTTTAATAATTATTCCATTGGCTGTAATGACTCCAACACTCAACCTGTTTGATTTTTCTACTTTTATTTTGTAATTTTAAAGAGTGCTTACTATTTAAAGTAGCTATTTCAGCCATTTTGATGGCCCTACTTAGCCAAAATGACTGTCAAGCAAAATTCTTACAACTGAATGCTAAAGTTCTCATTGGCAACAGACCAGCACCCTACCAGAGATTTACAGTAACCATGTCGAAGTATTTCACTACTGTACTTAAGTAAGTATCTGTACTCTACTGGAGTATTGTTTTTTCTCCTACTTCCACTTTTATTTCAGTACATATTTTGGGTGAGTTAAATACTTGGGCTGCATCATTACTGGTTACAATTATAAAATGTTACAAATCATTCCAAACCCACGTGATCACTGCCAGAGCAGCAGATGGCTCTGTCACAGGTTTGAATAAGTTGGCTCGTCATCATTTAAACAATCAAAGAAGATGGCTGCCTGCCTGCATTGAGAGCACTTTGGTTTGTTTTCAACATGGAAAACCCAGAAATTCCACCTTCAACTCTTTCACTTTCAACTGTTTGTGGTGATGAGGAAGAAGAAGACCCCCGTGGCCCTATTTAGAGTCTATGTTTGCATTTGTCGGAGTGAAAGACAAATCATATGGAATGAGGTGCATAATTTTAAAGATTGTAAAATAATGGCCTTCAAAAATTCATCGTCGAATTTGAAGTAACATAACAAGGCAAGTTAAAAATGGTATAATACACAAAACACAGCAGTTTGAGCTATCTGGAAGCAGATAAGTTAACTAACGTTAGCTACCCGCAGTTCATAATATGCTGCAATGTTCACTCAATGTTAACTAGCTGGCTATCGTAAAGGCTGTGTCACGCTGCATGGTGTTTTTGACCCCATCAAATACAGTTGAAGTCAGAATTATTAGCCCCCCTTTGAATTTTTTTCTTTTTAAATATTTCCCAAATAATGTTGAACAGAGCAAGGAAATGTTCACAGTATGTCTGATAATATTTTTTCTTTTGGAGAAAACTTATGTTTTATTTCGGTTAGAATAAAATCAGATTTTAATTAAAAGTAAACCATTTTTAGGTTAATATTATTAGCCTCTTTAAGCTATATATTTTTGACAATCTACAAAACAAACCATCGTTATACAATATCTTGCCTAATTACCCTAACCTGCCTAGTTAACCTAATTAACCTACTTAAGCCTTTAAATGTCACTTTAAGCTGTTCAGAAGTGTCTTAATAAAAATATCTAGTAAAATATTATGTACTGTCATCATGGCAAAGATAAAATAAATCAGTTATTAGAAATCAGTGATTAAAAATTTTATGGTTTAAAAATGTTAAACAGGGACAATAATTCAGGGGAGCTTCACACACACATATATATATATATATATATATATATATATATATATATATATATATATATATATATATAAATATATATATATATATATATATATAGGAAATCATAAACCATGTTTCTGTTCGTTCTGCTGAATCACAAGCCCCCAAAAAGATTTTTAAAATAAACAAAAAATGTAATGTCTTCTTTAATAACTACATAACACAATACTTGAACTTTTGCTTTCAGTATTTGACTTGTAAATTTTTAAATAAATTTAAAATTGCAATACTTAAGTACAAAAAAAGTTGAATACTTTAGTACTTACACTTAAGTATTGTGCTTAAAGAGCACTTCAACTCAATCATTTTTTTGATAGAGCACTTGTACTTTTACTTAAGTAATTTATACATCTCTGCATACTACTAGCATCTCTTTTTCACATTAAATTATTCCAAAACTATGTTTTGTTGCGTTTCTCATGTGTGATTCACATGCTATTTATAGATGAAAAACTTGTGATTGTTCTGTAAGAGTAGTTTTCTCATATCTTCATATGGCAGTAGTAGCATGCTAACATGCTATTCTATATTTAATTATTCTATAACCACAAAGTTCAATCACAAAAACAGATAAAAAAAAAAGTATTTGGTATTGGATCCCTTGCCTTGTCTATGCAGATATTTCTATCATGTTACCTTAACAGCCTGTATGTGTGGCTCTTTGCTGAAGCTGATGCTCCACTCTCTGTGGGCTTCAGACCCGCTGCTCTCTGTGTGGCTCCTGGAGTTCCTGCGTACAAACAGGCGTCTGCGTTTCGCAGCTGCCTCATTGACGCCCTCCATCATCCCTGGATTGACTCTTGGGGACCCCTGTTGTTGCTGTATGGTGGGCCGTGGTGTGAGCTGTGGTTGTACGTGGATTTGATGCACATGCGGGCATGCTGCCTGCTCCCTCTGTTCCAGTCGGTCCAGCGTGGAGAGCACAAGGGCCAACTTCTCACGTAGTTCTGAGATAGGCTCTAGCTGTTGCTCCAATTCAGCGACACGTTGAAGGAGGCGTCCCACACCCCATCTCACGCCCTCCTCAGGTGCCTCCATGGAGTGAAACAACCGCCGTAATTTTCCCAAACGTTCACGCCTCTCAGGCAACCCAGCCCCGCCCCCTTCAGGAGCTCCGCCTCCTTCTCCGGGCAGCACTGCCATGGAGCCACACATGCTGATGTCGTCTAGGAAGCGGAAGATGGTGCTGATGTCATCCTCAGCAATGTCAGGGTTGTCGATGGAGAGTTTATCGCCAAGCATAAGGCTTCGTAAAGCACGCCGATCTGCAGGCTCCGTCTGGGTGCCCACGCTAACCACGCAATCACTGCTCGGCGACCAATCATACCAGGCATCCAAACTCATCCCGCTCAGCCGCTTAAAGGTATCCCTCACAGAGTTGACGATGCTGGGATCAAATGCGGGAATGTCGAAGCTTGATCCGTCGAAGCTTATTTTAACAGATCCCGGTCTCCGCAATCCAGCTTTCTCTAGAACAGACCGCTCTGATCTGGGTTTCTGGAGGCCAGTCGTTTCAGGCTCAGGTCTTTCATCCGCCGTCCTGCTATCGATGTCCAAGCTGTGGCTTTTCACTTGAAGGACAGGGGTTTGGTGCTTTTGGTTGGAAACTGTCGGGCCGAAGTAGGTGGATGTCTGGAGTTCATCCAAACTTTCGTGCTTCGCCTGGCGCCACTGAGTCTGAGGGTCATACGGATTTGCGCTGTCAGTGTAAGGCTGCGCATGCGCATCTGCTTCAGGTGCATTCGAATGAGCATACGAATGATCATGCAGACATTGCACATGGGACGCCGGGGTGCATATGTGGGGGTCACTTGCATAAATTGCAGGGTCTGGATATGGGTTTTTCTGGGTAGCGTAAATCAAGTCCTCACCCTCCGATCTTGGTCCGTCAGGGCTTTGATCGGTTTCACCCTCCGAGGATATGAGTGGGATGCTGTGGAACCCTTCTTTAAAGGCACTCCTCTTCTGCGAGCAGGAACGAGCGACGCGGTCTCCCTGATTGGTCACCGGAGTCTTCCCTGCCTCCTGATTGACCGCCTCGGTGGAAGCGTCTCCAGAAAGCGCCTTCTGCATGCTGACTTGGTTGTGCATGTGAGGCTGAGCAACCAAGACGGAGGTGGTGGGAGCGTGTGAAGCCTCAGTGTTATGACCGAACGCTTGATAAGGGAGGTTCTCATATTTGCATTCCTCAGAGGCGGTCCCTCCTCCTGTGACGGGCAAGGCGGCCGGCCATTCGTAACGCACAAATCCCTTACCACAGACTTGACAGGGCGTCAGTGATTGAAAGTTGTGTGTGTATGAAGGACCCATGCGGGTGTGCATGAGCAGGTTGAACAGGGAAACAACATCAGCAGCGGCTGAGAGCCGGTTACTGCAGGGTGGGTGAAGTCGCTCTCTGAAGAGCGTGGCAGGGAAACAGGGGTCTCTACAGGCGGTGGAGTATAAGAGGCTCCGTAAATCTAAAAGAGGCTGCAGGCTGAAATGCCCACTCAGATAGACGCAAATGTCAGCATACGTCACACTCCCACGGCATGCACCTAACACCTCCAGGATCTCCAACAGCACCAAGGGGTCTTCAGGGGGTTCGGTCATTGTTTACTGATTATTTAGATCTCCATTAGCCAACGTAGTGGCTATTCCTTCAGGGGTCCAACGTATATAAAGTCAAACTTACAAAATATCTTAACAATCCATTAATGGTTGTATCAGATTACAAATTGAAGCTTAGTGTCCTTAACATTCCCCCTCCTTCTCATCAAAGGCACATGCAGCACTCCAAAAATCAGCACAGCAGCAAAACGAGGTCAACCACAAGAGGATTTCCACAAAAACGACGTTTGCATTGATTTCACATCAATCCTACGCAAGTTTAAACAGTCCAAGGAAGGAAAATGCAATAAAAGCAAGCGGTTACCTGTCGCCACTGAGATGTGTAGCTGGAAATAAAGCGATTCATCGCTGACCTTATTCAAAGCCTTAATATAGCCACAGATTGGAGCTTTTGAGAAGCACAGAAAGCATTGCTGATAGAGAGAAACGGTCCATCTTCACTGATCAGGGTCCCACCTGAGAGCCGGTCATAGGTAAAGCAGCGGTCAGTGGTCAGGCAGCGGTCAGTCTCACGGTTAGTGAAGAAAAGCAGGTCATCTTGCATCTCCAGGGATGCAGTGAATGTTGGGTCTGATCCCTCATGAGCTGATCATGGCGCCCCACACACGAGCAACAGCATGGAGAGTTTCATGTGTGACAGGAGGATTGCTTCCTCTGGTTGGAGTGTTTGCACACGGAGTGGCTGTGAAAGTCATGCATGACGTTAATGAGCGTTCTAATGCAGGACAACAACATTTACAACAGGAGAACCGCCTTGAGTATAGAGTAATGTGAGGAAGCAACATTAGATTGCTTATACTCTAACATTAATAAATCAAAAATAGAAATATGTATAATATGGATATACAGTTGAAGTCAGAATTGTTAGCCCCACTGAATTATTAGCCCCTCTGTTTATTTTGTCCCCCAATTTCTGTTTTGATTTTTTTTAACACATTTCTAAACATCATCGTTTTGATAACTCATCTTTAATAACTGATTTATTTTATCTCTTACATGATTTTTAAGACACTTCTATACAGCTTAAAGTGAAATTTTAAAGGCTTAACTAGGTTAATTAGGGTAACTAGGCAGGTTAGGGTAATTAGGCAAGTTATTGTATAACAATGGTTTGTTCTGTAGACTATCTAAAAAAATAGCTTAAAGGGGCTAATAATTTTGACATTAAAATGTGTTTTAAAAAATTAAAAACTGCTTTTATTCTAGCTGAAATTAAACAAATAAGACTTTCTCCAGAAGATAAAATATTATCAGACAAACTGTGAAAATTTCCTGAATCTGTTAAACATAATTTTGAAAATATTAAAAAATAAAAATTATAAGGGGGGCTAATAATTTTTCCTTCAACTGTATATACAAATAATTACTTTCCCTATTTTCATTGATCATTATAATTGACCAATACAAAAATATTAAATGTGGATCTGAAAAAATATACACTGGTTGACGAAAATAACAATAAATGAATTAATTAGATTAGTACTATCAACCACAAATATAAAATGTGTATGCATATTTTATTTAAACAGTTGTCTTTATTTTATTTTATTTACATTTTATTAACAATAAGCCAAAGTCAGGATGTATGGATGGAGTATTGCATGATGCGTTTACCTTTGAAGTTCTCCTTCACTCCGCTCTTTGCCCTGGATTTATCTATTTATATACAGCAAAACAAGTTTTATTACCAGATGAAAAATGAATTTATTTAATATTAAACAACTGAATAAAATATTATAAATGATATGGAACACTCACTGTATTCAAGAGCCTCGTGCGAAATCCAATTCAAGCTTTTGAGCAAATAAAAATGGAGTAAAACCTTAAGAAGCAACCTGAAAATAAAAGCTCACCTTCATCCTGACGCACAAATAAATACATGCAAACAAAGCTGAAGTCAAAGCATCTGCTGAGTTTTTATAGTGATGTGGGCGATGAGAGCTTTACAGACAGTAACACACATCCTCTCTCAGCGTGTTTTAGTAGAGCCTACATTAAAGCGATCAGACCTTTTAAACGTGTAATGGAGCTCATTGGCTTCAGACGTCAGGTAGTCTGCTAACTGCTAAGACTCATCAGGAACCCAAACATCCTCTCGATCTCTAATTGATGAGCATCTGATATACATTAAAATTAAGATGACTTCAGCAAACAGTAAGTTTACCGTAAAGTTTGTTGACCTTCTCCGCTTTAAAATAATTAATCGGAAAAAGACCACCAGGGGGAACCAAAGTTTATCTTAAACTGCTCGTGTACAAGTTTGTTCATTTAAAGTTTATGCACATAACCTAATTGTTGTCAATTTGATGAAAGAGTGCACTTAATACCTTTGTTATGTAAACAGACACATGGTGATTGCTACTGAGCAAACTTTAAATAATACTGGGTTGTTGTAATCAAACTCAGCTGTTGGGTTACAAAGTGTAATTTAAATGTCTTTGAAAAAAAAAATGAACACAACATTGAGTTTGTCCTTATTTGACCTAAGGTTGGGCTACAACAATCCAGAGTGCACACAGTGAAATCGAATAAATTGATGAATAACTAGAAATATAGCAAGATTGCATAATTAAATGTAAATAAAGTGCATTTAAAGAATGGGGAAAATGTCAATAAAGTTGCAATGTCCCTAAAAAAAACTTTTCAGCAGTTTTAACCAGAAAATATTTCACTGCCTATAGTTAATGGGGCATAAAACAACACGCCATTATGTAATGTACTGAAAAGGTGTTATATTAATAATAATCATATAGAGATACTGCATACACAGTAATTCAATTAATATTTATATTAATATTATATGTATATATATATATACATACAAATTTGATAATCCTAATTTACCTAAAAGAGAAACAGTTTAGTCACATTAACATCTGACTTTTTTAAATGGTTATGTGCCTTTATATACAGTGTATGTAAACTTCTGATTTCAACTGTGTGTGTGTGTGTGTGTGTGTATATATATATATATATATATATATATATATATATATATATATATATATATATATATATATATATATATATATATATATATATATATATATATATATATATATCAAACAAGTAACAGTGCGATATGGCTCTATTGGCTGTGGGAGGCGAGCATTGACTCGAGGCCCGCCGAGTACCAAACGCTTGATTCACATGGGGCTTCAGAGTCAACACTTGACAGAGGGCGTGTCTGAAGTTGGGGGTGAAGCGATCATCATAGCTGTGTCAACCAATAAAATTAGTCAGCAATTGACTACTGTCTGAGCTGGGGTATTTGCATACAGCGATCTGATTGGCTGACGCTTCTGTTAGCGCTTGAAAAGTTGAGAAAGTCCTATCTTCTGCAGCGAGCAACACCACTGAAGCGGCGGAAACGAATCCACAAGGCAGTTTGGCAATGCCTGACGTCACCCATTGAAAGTGCAATCCCATCAGTCTAAAGAGATTTCCCAGTATTTCTCTGCTGCAATTGGGAGATCACAATAATTAACTCCGAAAAAGCCAAAGCAAAACTAACACTACCAGATTTCTATGGTATAAATACAGCTCTAAATCATACAAAAGAAATCAACTTACAAAGTCACTCCAATAGTATCTGGATGCAGCCTTTATGATGCAAGCTGAGACTGCATCACTCAGCGATGCAATGTCAGAGTGCACTGAATGGAGTGAGTGACGTCACTGTGATGGGTAGGGTTAGGGGTTGGATTAGGTGAGCGCATTAAAAAACATTGGATGCAACTCAGATTGCACTGCACCGAGTCTGCAGCCAGACCCCTCTCAGTCACTCACCTGTTTTATAATGATTTGATCGGCTGTAGTTTAAAATTGTAAAAGTTTTTCTCCCCTTAAGACTAATTATACAGTCTCTGTTGCCATCTTGTGGCGGAAAGTCAACCGTCTTTGCTCTGCTCCGAATGACATTCTGATGGCCACCAACACGCTGTATCTCCAAAATTATTATTTAAATATTTAAAATAGGCACTTTATCAATAAACTGCATAGCTGCAATCTAAACAAGTACATTCCCACCTTAAAAAAGCCTCAAAAGGACATTATGTTGTCCAACAGTTGCAATATTTGTCAAACTGTAGTGAGTTTATTGATCTGCTTTCACTCTATGTGGGCGGAGTAATACAGAAGGGTGAAAAGGCTGTACGAGTGCTGATATTGCAGAATATAGCACGGCTATCAGCCAATCAGATTCGAGAACCAGACAGAGATACTAATATATAAATAGCAATTATTTAAATATTTTCATTTTTATTTGTTGAAAATCAGTGTTATGCACCAAATATTAATTTCTTAATCTTTACATTGTGATGTCTATAAATGAATGTAAATATGCCTGAAAACCCGACACCCCTGTTGTAATTTTATGCAATAAAAAATTACAATATTTTTATTATTTATTTGTTATGCTGTATAAAATTATATAATAAATAAGCCGGCTTTGCGCTGCAATGCTGAAACAAGTTTATATTTTAATATTTTTGGAAATAAGGTCTTCACTATACAAAATTAAAAAAAGATGTTTTTGAGAGAAATTGTAAGTGAGTGTTTTGGGTGTGCCTCTGCGTGCTTCAATATCATTTGAGTCTCTCTGATCTCTTATCTGTTTTGGGTTGTTGGTGAGTCACAGTGTCATTTATTACGCACACAAACATTTCTTCACAATGTGTGAGTCAGTGTTGTGTTTGAGAAACACAGTGATCACATGAAATCAAAGGCAAGAGACAGAGGCAGTTCATAATAATAACACAATGAACTTTCCACTGTACACTCAGCTGTGGTGTGGCGTTGCCAAATTTTGTCCTAATTGAGGCTAAGTAAGGAAAAAACAGGAAACGGGGGGAAGAACGGAAAGAGAAAACGATACAAACATGATGAAGGAAACTGAGAGGTTGCAGCTCGGTCACATAATGGAGTGACGGAGAGTAAACGCTGCGATTAGGGGAACTGGATGTCGTTTTTTAGGCATTTCAGTGCCTCTTATCAGCCTGCTGAGTGAAAAACAGACGCCTGTTTAAACACTCTTGAAAATAAAGCTTCTTTACTGGCATCCATGAAACTTCAACCAAAAAGTCCTTCGGATTGTTCAAATGTTCTGGTGTAATGGATTTATGAAGAACTTTTCACTAAAAGCTTCTTTATGAGATCACTGTGACAAGTCCCTTTTTGTTTCTCCTGGCACAGATCCATACAAACACACTCCATCCTGAATACCCAACCAAACACATCTAAGCCGACTTTATATGAAGTCTACTGAAGTATTATGCAAACATTTTATATTAATTTATACAACACACTTACTGTGTAGATACATACAATTTAAATATATGAGCAATTCCAGCGTTATGGATGTGACATTTGCAGTAAAATCTCAACACATAAATTGACAGAGAAAGTATATGTTAACATTATATTGAAAAATGTAATTATATTTTCTAGAGCAACTAGCCACAGAGTTATGCGAGCAGAAAAATATCAATCTGTAAACGTGTTTTGTACTTTAAATGAAGAAAATAAGCATGCGTTATGGATGTGACAAAAAAAGTCTGCGAGTTTACAGTATACAACACACTTTGTAGAAATTCTGTGAATTAAACTGCACAACCCAAAATAAATAATGCTAATCAAAAGGATTAGAGTCGGCTTTCTATAAAACAAAAATGCTTGGTTTTATTTTATTTAATATTTTCACATTTCTGAGGAAAAAAGTGTCGTTATGGATGTGACATCTCTGTTATGGGTGTGACGCATGTGAAATTACCATTTGTGTGACTTTGGTAAATCAAATAGAATAGTTTGAAAACATTGACAGATGCATTTTTGAGTATTTTTAAAGTACTGTAAAATACTTGCTTACACAAAAAACACAGAAATGGTTTCCGTATTTTGGTAAAAACGAATTTTTTTTCATGGCAAGGTTGACATTTGCACGGAATTGCTCATATATGTTTTTTTTTCACAGTATGTCTAATAATATTTTTTTTCTTCTGGAGAAAGTCTTATTTGTTATATTCATTCATTTTCTTTTCGGCTTAGTCCCTTTATTAATCCGGGGTCACCACAGCAGGATGAACCGCCAACTTATCCAGCACGTTTTTACACAGCGGATGCCCTTCCAGCCTCAACCCATCTCTGGGAAACATTCACACACACACTCATTCACACTCAAACACTTCGGACAATTTAGCCATAGCATCCGGAGGAAACGAATGTAGGGACAACGAGCAAACTCCACACAGAAACGCCAACTGACCCAGCCGAGGCTCGAACCAGCGACCTTCTTGCTGTGAGGCGACAGCACTACCTACTGTGCCACCCTTATTTGTTTTATTACGGCTAAAATAAAAGCAGTTTTTTAAAAAAAAAACATTTTAAGGTCAAAATTATTAGCCCCTTTAAGCTATATTTTTTCCGATAGTCTACAGAACAATCATCATTATACATTAACTTGCCTAATTACCTTAACCTAACCTAATAAACCTAGTTAAGCCTTTTTAAATGTCACTTTAAGCTGTATAGAAGTGTCTTGAAAAATATCTAGTCACATATTATTTACTGTCATCATGGTGAAGATAAAATAAACCAGTGGTTAAAACTGAGCTCAATAATGTTCATGTCTGGTGACTGGGCTGACTAATCTTGGAGCACCTTGACCTTCTTTGCTTTCAGGAACTTTGCTTTGGAAGCTGAAGTATGAGAAGGAGC